TGAAGTTTTTTCCACCGAACAACTTCATGATTAAGTCTTACGTTTTTCAATACTTCGCGCAAGTTGCATTTTTCCTTGCTCACTCACATTGTTCTATAAACCATTGCATTTGTTTTGTCTTTAGTAGAAATTATCGTAAAGGTTTCAAACATCTCCTGAGGCATATAAGTTCTCGTCCACCGAGACGTTTTCAAGTTTAGTTGGGGCTTGAGAGAAATCATGCAGAGCTGTTCAGACCAGCAACCAGCATTGACGGGGCACCCGCCAAAGGGTTCCAGGACCATTAAATCGGAATTATAATTATGAATTGTTCAGTGTTTCGTCACAAAACAATTTCGCCAGAATATTTCTACTCGTTGTTACATGCAAATTTACCCTCAACACGAAGCAAAGCCCGAATGAGTTAAATAAATGAAACAAAAAAGTATAACAGAGATTGAACTAACAATGAACGAGGATAGACGCTGATCACTATCGAGATGATCTTGTAACATTTAGAATAAACTTTTGCAAATGCAGAAAATTTTGACAAGGACTGTCGGAATGCCATAATGAAAGAAGAACACGAACAAGAACAAGAAGTGACAAGAAGAAGAAGAAGTAGTAGAAGAAAATAATAATAATAAGCTACAATTTTATCCCAAGCATGACTCTTCTTGATCTGGTCTGTCCTTGTAATTTGAGCAGAAATTGTGTGCTATGATTAAATGATATTTTCTTTTCTGTTGTGAGAGCATAGGTCAATTGGACGTTTGTGATTCAATGTTGGAAAATAAACTTCAAATACTTCCCCGTTAAGTGCGAAGGTGATTGAAAACTCAAGAGGTACTGATGCTTTTCCAGCCGTTTAGCAATGTTGTGAACTCATCACCAAGTCTGCTTTGAGATCCAAATGAAACATTAATATTGAGATAATGTTTGAATTTTTTATTTTATTTCATTTTTGTTGTTGTTGTTGCATTTTTGGTAAATACTAGAGCTATGAGTCACGCAACGTTAATAAAAAAAATGGGAGTAGCGGGTATTATGCTCCATATATATTTGGTCTGCGAGATGGTAATGTTCCATAGCCTATTATCCTTTCTTGTAAAAGATCTACACGAGAGGCGGGAGAAGGAGGGAGGAAGTGGGGAGTGAGGGAGGGGATGGTTGCATCAATCAGTGTTACAAAATCACCGTTAGTGCCCCTAGTTCTTGCAAATCATCAAAAAGTCACCCCAGTCTCTGTCACCGGTGTGTCTGGGTTAAAAAAAATTGTAGCCGCAGATGTCTACCATTCCCACAATTGGCGCACTAGTAAAATCGTAAACACCCTTGAAACTCAAAAATATCAAAGAGTGTTTATTCTTGTATCAATTGACTCACCTGCCCCCCACCCCCCTCCCTGTGACTCCCCCATTTCATCCTGTCCTTTCTCTTGAAGTGAAAAGTTAGACAAAATTCATTTTATTTTAATGATGCGTCAGCTTTACAATGATCAAAGCGGTTTCCATCTTAAAACTCTTCAGGCGACCTACACTTGTAAGATTATTTGTAACAGTTCAYTATTCGCCATTTATCTAAGATAAGCCTCATTTATTAATGGAATGAAAGTTTACAATTAAGGCATTAATTGGGGTCTATCTTGAAGATACTTGCAAAGTTCTTGAAATCTACTTTAGTGGTCCTCATGGGAGCGCCTGTCTTGTCGAATCCAACCATTCGTTTATCGTCACGGTACGACTTCAAGTGAAACAGCGATGTCCTATCTGACATTGGTATCTTGTAGAACAGAATGTCCCACTCGGGATTTATGGCCTCCGAGTTATGTAACTTTTTTAAAGGTTTCTCTGTAGGAAGACTCTATCAGAGGAGAGAGTACATTAAGTAAATAATTAAAGCAGCCAATTATGCTCAAGAAGGGTTCAAGGCTTAGATTCTCATCTAGAATTTAGATTTTCATCTAGAATAGAATGAATATATCATTTTGTTCGTGCCATTTACAGGCACTCCGTCACTCAATCTGTGTTGTACCATGCATAAGCGATAGATCTAGATAATCTATTGAAATTGCGAAGAGAGTTTAAAATGTTAATCTCTTCCTGGCACTTGAAGGGTTGACACATACAAGCAAAACAGATGATAATTCTGACTCGTAAGTTTTATCTTTCTCTTTTTCATTTAAAAAGTTGAAACTGTAGAAAAAAAAAAACGGTGATTCGTCGTATTTGTGGCGAAGTATAAGCGTTTGTCTTAACAATGTAGTCCTTTGATAGGCGACTGGAAAACCATCACCTTATACATCGCTTGAAGAGGACTCGCGGTCTGCTGTCAAAAATGGAAGGGACTACATCGAGAGGCAAACGATTATATTTGATTACAAAATTTAAAAGCTTATTCATCAATGGCCCGTAGCGGAGGTTTTTTTCTTACCAAGTGAGATCGATTAGTCACATACCTTTGCAATGACAGTGTCATTTTCTGTATCTATCGCCACAACTTTCTGAGTATTTATGTGCTCCAATATAACAATTTGATGCCCGTCCGATTCTATCATGTGGATTGTAAATCCAGCTGTAAAAAAGCATAGAGAGCCATCATGACAACTGAAACATGAATCGAACAATAGTTGGCGGATCACAGGTTACTGCCGCAGTGCGGCTTTGACTCAAAAAGGTTAGGGACCCAAGAACACGTCGCTTTCAATAGTGTATTATACGGATAAATCTGACGATGATAAAAACTGATAACAGTAATGAAAACAACGATATCGTTTTATTCTCCGCTAACAATAATTTGATTAAAAACATGCAATGTATCAATAAAGGAAACTTTTTTAGGTCACTGAAGAAAAGATAAACTGTTACTTGTCAACTCTTTTTTAAAACAGCCTTGTAATTTTCCACGGGAATGTTTTCGCAGACCGTAGGATCCTGGGGTCGCTATTTTTGACGAGTAATCCTCTTAAAACCTTTTTTTCTTTTACTCACTAGCATCATTTTCCTTTGCCGCATCTGTTCTCAAGGATCCGTTTCCATCAATATACAAGTAGTGTCCTGCTACAAGGCCCCCTTGATTCATCGAATAAAGCCTGAACGGGTGTTGGGCGTCGCCATGTCTGTTCCATTTATCGTTACTACCATCTATGACTGTAGCAGTGCCTTCCTGCAACAATGGACATCGGAAATGGGAAAAAATACGATGGAAAATAGACAACATATTATGGACAATGGAACATAACCCTTGGATAAAAGGCAAGTGGAATGCTATGTTTAACAGGTGAGCTGTCGCATACCGGACTGTGACAAGGAAAGCAATCACTATAGAATTAACGGGGTAAGTTTCTAAAGAAGCTGTCGGGTGCTGTGTCGATGAGTTAGTAATGTAAATTCAAAGTCATAGAAAAGAGCTCTTAAAGATGACGTATCTCGCGTTAGCCCAATGTCAGAGCGAAGGGCATGCGACACTCTAACAAAGGGGTAATGCTCGATAAAACCAAATTATTTTGGTTACCAGTTAGTTTAGATTTGAGCGTGAAGGTAAAAGTAGTCCTGAGAAGAACTGTCGATACACAAACTTAATTTACTATGGAGTCCATGATTTACAGAGAACAGGCCATATTGCATATCAGGAGCAATCAATTCATCAATAAGACCGTATTCTTTTCTATAAAAAGGTATAAACTATAAAGATTTTAGTAATTCTCAGTTGAATGCTCTCAAAGATTCGTAAACAAGGCGCGATAGAAACTTTCGGTTTTACATATTGGTCCGTATTAAAATTTGATTCTGTTTCATAACCAAAAGAAAACTCCACCTGCTTTGAATTTGATCTGACTCGGAAATGCATGAGATGAACAGACTCATTTCATACTTTTCTTAACGACCTAGATTGTATAAAAGTTGAAAACCATTCAGATTCGAGAGAATTATTCGAGCTTACAGCTATTTATTTGGAATAACCTATTGATTCTTTTTTATCTTTTTTTCTTGTTTGAAGTCTTAAAAAATATATTTCAGGTGTGATTTTTACTAAAGAAAAGTCAAGACCATGTGAATATTTGTTTCTGAAATCTCGCGGCCGTACTAATGAATAATCTCGGTGTACGGATAAAGCGGACATATACACAAAGATTAACACTCTTTACCTCTTTCAAAGCGTCCAATGATCTGTCTTCAATCGACATTGTGATGACTGACCTCTTCGCGACAAATGTGGTGTACTTCTCGAAACTCTAAAAAATTGCTGCGCGACAAAGTTATATCTATGACTGTAACATCTCTATTCATATCTTATCCGCCTTCTGAAAGTGAAATAAGGTGCATTTCGTGAAAACATCTTTTTAGTCTCAGATAACCTGACCTCACGAAAACGAAAATCTCGACATCATCGCTAATTTAGCACAAGTTACGTGGTATAAAATTTAGCCGCTTTATTCTRAAATATAAGAGTGACGAATAGAGAATTTCTCTTTGCAAAATGAAGATATTTTCAGTTAGACGGATGGTTAGAAAAAGGAACTATATTAGCTTAGGGACAAATTCTCAGAACGTATGTTGTACGAGATGTATAACAGACAGTAAGGACAGTTGATACTGTTATCTTGAGTGTGATTGGGAGAAAATAGATCACAACAAACGTCTTTTTATTTTCTTAACATAGCCTGCGACCTTTGGAAGTTGTTGCGGCTCGTTTGATATAAGGGCAACCTCCTTAGATTGAAAAATGATGAGAAAGGCGAGTACTGGGCCAGTGACTGAGTCGTTTGTTAGAAATCCTGAGATTTGACAATTAGATCTGGATTTTAAATCATCTTCATATCATTTTCAAAACTTAGTGTCAAAACTCATTCCCTCTCGACTTAAAACGAAAACAGTTACCACGAAGATAGCAGTATCAGAGTCGTTTTCCAGTTAAGTTTTCTGACGCGTACTTTTGCTTAATGGCTTTTTTTTTTACGATGACATTGTCGTAATGAAGTTTCGTTTTTAAATACTGGGGAATCGCAAAAATGTGCATGATGCGATGGAAAAGCGATCGGAATGGATGAGGCAGAGCGAAGGAACCTGATTTGTGTCTCTTGCATGAGATCACATGGCATGACATTTTTTTGATGTGACGTAAACAAAATTATGCGTTATATTCCATAGCCTAGGCAGAACACAAAAGAGGAACTTTAAAGGATACCTCACTTTAATTCAATTCATTCCTTTCTCTGTTCAGTATTGTAGAATTATGAAAGACACCGTGAAACTCGAATTCGTTCACAGTTAGGGGAGCTCAAAGGCAAAGGAATAGAGGATGCAATTGGGATACGCTTTTCTAGTACAGCGGTGTACTGTTATCTAAATGGTAGCGTGTCAAGTAATTTGTCACGAAAATTAGCTATTACGTAACCTTGACCGAAATTAGATTGGGGGTCTCTTACCATCACCTTAGCTGCTATCATTTAATTTTCTATGGCAACGGCCTCCGACGGAGCCGAAGACATAATGTTGTCCTGTTGAGTGACTGAATGACTGAAAGGCTCTACAATTGTTTCAATCCTATCTTGAAAATCGATTGCAATATGTCTGCATCAATGGTCCTAGCCTAATTCCTCTTCCACGGATGTAACTTTTGGTGTTCCACAGGGATCTGTTTTGGGACTGCTCCTTTACCTGTTATATACTGCACCATTGGGTGACATAATATGTCAACATGGAATGGAGTTTCATTTCTATGCAGACGATTCCCAGATTTCTGAAAGATCTACACGAGAGGCGGGGGTGGGAGTGGAAGGGGGTAGTGGGGAGTGAGGGAGGGGTTAGTTGCAGCAATCAGTGTTACAAAATCACCGATAGTACCCTTAGTTCTCGCAACTCATCAAAAATTCACCCCAACCTCTGTCACCGGTGTCTGGGTTAAAAAAAATTCTAGACTCAGATGTCTACCATTCCCACATTTGGCGCACTAGTAAAATCGTATAAACGCTTGAAACTCAGGAATATCAAAGAGTGTTTATTTTTATATCGACAGACTCACCTGCCCCCCACCCCCCTCCCTGTGGCTCCCCCATTTCATCCTGTCCTTTCTCTTCAGGTGAAAAGTCAGATAAATTTATTTTATTTTTATGATGTTTCAGCTTTACAAGGATCAAGGCGATTTCCATGTTAAAACTCTTTAAGCAACCTACACTTGTAAGGTTATTTGTAACAGTTTATTCGCCATTTATCAAAGATAAGTCTTATTGATTCATGGAAAGATAGTTTACAATAAGGTGTTTGGGCATTAATCGGGGTATATCTGGAAGATAATTTGGTTATATCAAATAAGTTGAAATTGTAAATTTGCCACCATAACGAGTTAAAAGTCTGACGTTTCGAGCGTTAGCCCTTCGTCAGAGCGAAGGGCTAACGCTCGAAACGTCAGTTGTTTAACTCATTACGGTGGCCAATTTACAATTTCAACGCCCTTTAGTTAATGCATCTTGAAGAGAAATTCATCCTTGTTGGATTCTGCATCAGCAGTCGTCTTCACAATGGGATCGCCTGCCTTGTTAAATCCAACCATTCGCGTATCGTATGGCTTCAAGTGAAACAGCGCATCTTCCTCTGACTTCGGTATCTTTTGGAACAGAATGTCCGGGTGTTTCTCTTCAACCTTGGACAAGTTGTTTAACTGTCTTAAATTCACTGAAGAAGAATCCTTTCACAAGAGAGAGTACATTAAGTACAAAATCAAAGCAGCCAAATCCCTCACAAATTATGTTCAAGAAAGGTCCAAGGCTTAGATTCTCATCTAGAATTTAGATTCTTATCTAGAGTAGGATGCCGGAGTGATATAATTTTGTTCGTGTCATTTACAGTCACTCCGTAACTCAATCTGTGTTGTACTATGCATAAGCGATAGATCTAGATAATGTATTGAAATTGCGAGGAGAGTTTAAAATGTTAAACTCCTCCTGGCACTTGAAAGATTGACACGTACAAACAAAACAGATGATAATTCTGACTCGTGAGTTTTATCTTTCTCTTTTTCAATTAAAAAGTTGAAACTATTGAAAAAATGGTGATTCGTCGTATTTGTGGCTAAGTATAATCGTTTGTCTTACAATGTAGTCGTTTGATAGGCGACTGGAAAGGCGTCACCTGATAAATCGCTTGAAGAAGACTCGCGGTCTGCTGTCAAAAATGAAAGGGACTACATCGAGAGGCAAACGATTATATTTCATTACAAAGTTTAAAAGCTTATCGATCAATGGCCCGTAGAGGAGGACTTTTCTTGCCAAGCGAGATCGTTTAGTCACATACCTTCGTGATGAAATTTTTTGTGTTTGCATCTATGGCCACAACCTTCTTTGTCTTGCGGTGCTCCAATATAACAATTTGATCACCGTAGTTCGTATCTATGCTGTGGACTGTAAATCCAGCTGCAAAATAAGCATAGAGAGTCGTCATGACAACCGAAACATGAATCGAACAATAGTTGGCGGATCACAAGTTACTGCCACAGTGCGGCATTGGACTCAAAAAAGTTAGGGACCCAAGAACACGCCACTTTCAATAGTATATTATACGGATAAACCTGACGATAATAAAAACAATATTAATGATAGTAGTAATAATAATAATGATAATAATGACAACAATACTATTGAAGGAAAAATGAAATTAACAATAACAAAAGGGTTAATGAAAGCAATGAGCGTTTTATTCTGCACTAACATATAAGTTGATCAAAAACATGCAATATATCAATAAGGAAAAAATTTTTGGACACTAAAAAATAAATAAACCGTTACTTGTCAACTCTTTTTTTCAAATAGCTCTTTAAATTCCCACGGGAATGTTTTCGCAAACCGAAGGATCATGGTGACGCTATTTTTGACGAGTAATACTCTTAAAACCATTTTTTCTTTACTCACTATCATGATCGCTATTGTCTTTGTCCCCATCTGCCCTCAAGGATCCATTGCTATCAATACGCAAGTAGCCCTCCCCCGCCCTACTCATCGAATGAAGCAGAACCGGGCGTGCTGGTCTGTTCCATCCATGATCACTACCATCTATGACTGTAGCAGTGCCTTCCTGCAACAATGGATATTGGAAATGGAGAAAAAGGCGATGGACAATACACAACATACTATGGACAATGGAACATAACCCTTCGTTAAAAGGCAAGTGAAATGCCATATCATTCAAAATGTGAGGTGTCGCATATCGCACTGTGACAAGGAAAGCTGAGCGATCACTATTTAATTAACGGAGTAAGTTTCTAAAGAAATTGTCGGGTACTGCGTCGGTAAGAAGTATAACAAGATCATTTGGTTTTATTAATTGAGTTACTAGTGTAAATTAGCCACAGAAAAGAGCTCTTAAAACTGACGTATCGAGCGTTAGCCCTACGTCACAGCGAAGGACAAACGACACTGTAACGAATGGGTAATGCTCATTGAAATGAAATTATTTTGCTTACCAGTTAGTTTACATTTTATCATGAGGTGAAAGTAGTCCTGAGAAGGACTGTTGATACACAAACTTAGTTTACTAAGGAGTTCATGATTTCTACGGAGAACAGGCTATTTTACACATTAAAAGCAATCAATTCATCAATAAGACACTACTATTCCCTTTCCATAAAAAGCTATAAGCTATAAAGTTTTTAGTAATTCTCAGTTGAATTCTCTCAGAGATTCGTAAACAAGGCGCGGTCGTAACTTTTGGTTTTGCATCAGGTCCCTATTAAAATTTGATTCTGTTTCATAACAAAAGAAGACTCCACTAGGCCATCGAATCTTAAAAAACGAATGACTCCACCGGTAAATCCCAATGACCTGCTTTGAATTTGACTTGACTCGGAAATGCATGAGATGAACACAGACTCATCTGATACTTTTCTTAGCGACTTAGATTGTATGGAAGTTGAAAACTGTTCAGAGAGAATTATTTAAGCTTACAGCTATTATTTTTGTGGAATAACCTATCGATATTTTTGTCATCTTTTTTCTTGTTTGAATTCTTAAACTTAAAATGAAAAAAAAAATTTCAGAGGTAAGTTTTACTAAAGAAAAGTAAAGACTATGTAAATATTTGTTTCTGAAATCTTGCCCGAGCTAATGAATAATCTCGGCGTACGGATGAAGCGGACATTTACACAAATATTAACACTCTTTACCTCTTTCGAAGCGTCCAATGATCTGTCTTCAATCGACATTATGATGAGCGATTTCTTCACGACAAATGCGGTGTACTTCTCGAAACTCTCTGAAGAATTGCTCCGCGACAAAGTTATATCTATGACTGTAATATCTCTTTTTATATGTTACATACGCCTTCTGAAAATGAAATAAGGTGCATTTGGTGAAAACACCTCTGATAACCTCACGAAAATGAAAATCTTGATATCATCGCTAATTTAGCATAAGTTACGTGGTATAAAGTTTGGCCACTTCATTCTTAACTATAGGAGTGACCAACGGAGAATTTCTCTTTGCAAAATGAAGATATTTTCAGTTAGACAGGTGATGAGAAAAAGGAACTATATCAGCTTAGGGACAATGTTTGATTGAATATAAAATTCTCAGCACGTACATTGTACGAGATGTATAGCAGACAGTAGGGAGAGTTGATACTGTTATCTTGAGTGTGAATGGGAGAAAATAGGTCACAACAAAAGTCCTCGTTTTCTAAACGCAGCCTATGACCTTTGGAAGTCAGTTGTTGTGGCTCTTTTGATATAGGTACAACCTCCTTACATTAAAAATCGACGAGAAAGGCGAGTGCTGGACCAATGTCTGAGTCGTTTGTCAGAAATTCTGAGTCTTGGCAATTAGATCTGGATTTGAAATCATCTTCACATCATTGCCAAGACTTAGTTTCGAAACTCGTTCCCTCGAACGAAATCGAAAACAGTTACCATGAGGATAGCAATATGAGAGTCGATTTTTGAGTTTTGTTTTCTGAAGCGTATTTTTTCTTGAAGACCTTTTTGTTTACAATCAAATTATCATAATGAAGTTTCGTGTTTTAAATACTCAGGAATCGCAAAAATATGCATGACGCGAGTGGAAAGCGAGCGCAATGCATGGATGAACAAAGAAACGGAACCTGATTTGTGTCTCTTGCATAAATTCATACCATTGACATTTTTCGAAGTGACAGAACCCAAGTGGTTAAACCGTTGTATCCCATAGCCAAGATAGAACATAAAATAGGAACTTTAAAAGATACCCCACTTTCCTTCGGAGAACTAAAAGTAAAAGGGGTCCTCTGTCTCAACAAAACTGCTCTTTACATATTTTTTTCTCGAAATAAATCAGTTTAAGTCAAGAATGGTCGCTAATCATGTGATGTTTACAATATTCCTCATCTATTGGAACGATTTTAATACATTGTTTGAATCGTCTGTTAATTCCCAGACATTGGACTAGTCCAGAGGTGCTGTCATAAAACTTATGAATTTTGCAAAACTCGCTCTGGTCTAGCACCTTTGATTTACACTGTCGTCCAAGTCGATTGAGCGCCTGGCAATTCGGAATAGTACCTCTTTCTTCAACAGCCTGACTTTTGCTGTACATTGCACGTTCTTGCGAGTTCTTAACTCCTTTGAACAGCTTTTTTTTACGCTTTACTCGAACAAAGCTTTCTGAAGTCCTGGCCGGCTTCTGTCGAGCATAAGCGTTTTGTGTATTCCAAAGTTTCTCAGCCGATTTTCGCGCGTAAAGCTCTGATAATCTTCCGTTCTCTGTCTCTTTAAAGAACATTTCGCTCCGACGAAGGGCTAACGCTCGAAACGTCAGCTTTTATAATCGTAATGGTGGCCAATTTACCATTTCAACTTTGTTGATATAATCAAATTATTTCGTTACCCCCACGGACGCAGCTCCAAACAGTTTCTTTAGAAACTATCAGCCTTTATTCATTTTTAAAGAACTGGTTGACTTGGTTGAAAATCGGCTATATTTGTTACCCCTCTCAGCACATGTATTGGCTTCAGTTTCAAGCAGAGCTGACGAGTGGGTACTCATGTTTGAGGATCAGAACGAAAGTTAAAACAATCAGGCGTTGGAAGCAGACGACAAGAATAGACTGGATCTATTATTCCCATCAGCCCTCGTTATCAGAGCCCGCGTTATTTGAAGAAAATATGGCGGAATTGTGTGGGATAAAAGGAAAGCAAGTTTCCTGTGATGTTTGTGGGGCAACTTTGCCTTCACGTAAGGACAGCATTGTTTGTCATTTTTTGAAGGATACAGGATTTCTCCCTTCTTGTGTGGTTATAAAACCCAGCTGAAAAACATCAGAAAGTTTCGCACGAGTTTTGACGTGTTCACAGCGTTGTTATTAGTCTGTCACGCTTAACGGATCTGAATTTCCATTTATGTTAGCGTCCGTGTTAGATCAAGTCTTTTCTCTGCTCGTCAGCTGTGGAGCTTTTACCCTGGAAGTGAAATTCACGAAGTTCGGATCGCTCATCTCATGAACCTTTTACTCCTTGAAATCAGTATGCATATTCTCCATACTGTTCTCTAGATATTTCCTAAGCTGCTGGATAATTTGTTTAAGAATTAAGAGCTTGTTAAGCTGGTGACTATTTCCTTTATTCTTGTAACCTTGATGTTTGATTCATCAGTGGTGATATTGTAAAGCGAAATTTTATCTTAGTCGCTCCTATATAGTGCTCATCTGGGACGGATCCAGGATTTAGTGAAGGGAAGCTCGGAGAATTGTCCGAGGGCATGTTCTCCCGGGAGATTTGAAAATTAGGTCTTCGGAAACATGATTTCCAGCATTCAAGGGACAAATTAGGGGTTTCCACCGAACCACCCGAACCACCCGAACCACCCGAACCACCCGAACCACCCGAATCACCCGAACCACNGTTGGCGGATCACAAGTTACTGCCACAGTGCGGCATTGGACTCAAAAAAGTTAGGGACCCAAGAACACGCCACTTTCAATAGTATATTATACGGATAAACCTGACGATAATAAAAACAATATTAATGATAGTAGTAATAATAATAATGATAATAATGACAACAATACTATTGAAGGAAAAATGAAATTAACAATAACAAAAGGGTTAATGAAAGCAATGAGCGTTTTATTCTGCACTAACATATAAGTTGATCAAAAACATGCAATATATCAATAAGGAAAAAATTTTTGGACACTAAAAAATAAATAAACCGTTACTTGTCAACTCTTTTTTTCAAATAGCTCTTTAAATTCCCACGGGAATGTTTTCGCAAACCGAAGGATCCTGGTGACGCTATTTTTGACGAGTAATCCTCTTAAAACCATTTTTTCTTTACTCACTATCATGATCGCTATTGTCTTTGTTCCCATTTGCCCTCAAGGATCCATTGCTATCAATATGCAAGTAGCGCTTCCTCGCCCCTCTCCCCGAACTAAGCAGAAACGGGCCTTGTCTGTCCCATCCATCATCACTACCATCTTTGACTGTAACAGCGCCTTCCTGTAACAATGGATATTGGAAATGGAGAAAAAGGCGATGGACAATACACAACATACTATGGACAATGGAACATAACCCTTCGTTAAAAGGCAAGTGAAATGCCATATCATTCAAAATGTGAGGTGTCGCATATCGCACTGTGACAAGGAAAGCTGAGCGATCACTATTTAATTAACGGAGTAAGTTTCTAAAGAAATTGTCGGGTACTGCGTCGGTAAGAAGTATAACAAGATCATTTGGTTTTATTAATTGAGTTACTAGTGTAAATTAGCCACAGAAAAGAGCTCTTAAAACTGACGTATCGAGCGTTAGCCCTACGTCACAGCGAAGGACAAACGACACTGTAACGAATGGGTAATGCTCATTGAAATGAAATTATTTTGCTTACCAGTTAGTTTACATTTTATCATGAGGTGAAAGTAGTCCTGAGAAGGACTGTTGATACACAAACTTAGTTTACTAAGGAGTTCATGATTTCTACGGAGAACAGGCTATTTTACACATTAAAAGCAATCAATTCATGAATAAGACAATACTATTCCCTTTCCATAAAAAGCTATAAGCTATAAAGTTTTTAGTAATTCTCAGTTGAATTCTCTCAGAGATTCGTAAACAAGGCGCGGTCGTAACTTTTGGTTTTGCATCAGGTCCCTATTAAAATTTGATTCTGTTGATATCACCAAATTAACTTGTTACCCCCACCGACGCAGCAACACAGTTTCTTTAGAATCCTTAATGAAAGCAATGAGCGTTTTATTCTGCACTAACATATAAGTTGATCCCGAAGAGAAATTCATCTTTGTTGGATTCTGCAGCAGCAGTCGTCGTCACAATGGGATCGCCTGCCGTGTTAAATCCAACCATTCGCGTCTCGTATGGCTTCAAGTGAAACAGCGCACTCCCCTCTGACTTCGGTATCTTTCGGAACAGAATGTCCGGGTGTTTCTTTTCAACCTTGGACAAGTTGTTTAACTGTCTTAAATTCACTGAAGAAGAATCCTTTCACAAGAGAGAGTACATTAAGTACAAAATCAAAGCAGCCAAATCCCTCACAAATTATGTTCAAGAAAGGTCCAAGGCTTAGATTCTCATCTAGAATTTAGATTCTTATCTAGAGTAGGATGCCGGAGTGATATAATTTTGTTCGTGTCATTTACAGTCACTCCGTAACTCAATCTGTGTTGTACTATGCATAAGCGATAGATCTAGATAATGTATTGAAATTGCGAGGAGAGTTTAAAATGTTAAACTCCTCCTGGCACTGAAAGATTGACACGTACAAACAAAACAGATGATAATTCTGACTCGTAAGTTTTATCTTTCCCTTTTTCAATTAGAAAGTTGAAGCTAGAAAAAAAGGTGGTTCGTCGTATTTGTGGCTAAGTATAATCGTTTGTCTTACAATGTAGTCGTTTGATAAGCGACTAGAAAGGCGTCACCTGATACACATCTCTTGAAGAAGACTCGCGGTATGCTGTCAAAAATGGAAGGGACTACAAAAATGGAAGGCCCGTAAGGATCTTGCTAAGCGAGATCGTTTAGTCACATACCTTTGCAATGACAGTGTCATTGTTTGCATCTATTGCAACAACTTTCTGAGTATTTTTGTGCTCCAACATAACAACTTGACCGTCCTTCGAGTCTATGATGTGGACTTTAAATTCAGCTGTAAAAAAGCGCAAAGAACCATCATGATAACTGAAACATGGATCAAACAATAGTTGGTGGAGTGCAGGTTATTGCCACAGTGCGGCTTTGACTCAAAACGTTTAGGGACCCAAGAACTCGGCGCTTTTAATAATATATTGTACACATAAGACTGATGATGATGAAAACAATATTAATGATAATAGTCATAATAATAATAAAAGTAATAATAGTAATAATAATAACAACAACAATACTATCATAGAAAAATAAAATCAATAATGACAAAAGTGATAATGAAAACAATGATACCGTTTTATTCTGCACTAACATACAAGTTGATTAGAAATATGCAATATATCAATAAGGAAAAAAAATTTTGGACACTGAAAAAAATATAAACCGTTACTTGTCAACTCTTTTTTTAAGCAGCCCTGTAAATTCCCACGGGAATGTTTTCGCAAACCGAAGGATTCTGGGGACGTTATTTTTGACGAATAATCCACTTAAAACCATTTTTTCTTTTACTCACTAGCTTTATTTGTTTGTGTCCCATCTGTTCTCACAAGTCCATTTTCATCAATATACAAGAAGTGACCTGGTACTGGGCCACCTTCATTTATCGAATAAAGCCTCTGCGAGTCTCGTCTAAGCCATTCATCGTCACTACCATCTATGACTGTAGCAGTGCCTTCCTGCAACAATGGACATCGGAAGTGGAAAAAAGACGATGGAAAATAGACAAAATACTATGGACAATGAAAGTATAACCCTTGGATAAAAGGCAAGTGGAATGCTGTTCAACAGGTGAGCTGTCGCATAACGGACTTTGACAAGGAAAGCAATCACTATATAATTAACGGGGTAAGTTTCTAAAGAAGTTGTCGGGTGCTGTGTCGGCGAGTTAAAAATGTAAATTAGCCACAGAAAAGGGCTCTGAAAGCTGAAGTATCGAGCGTTAGCCTTTCGTCAGAACGAAGGGTAAGCGACACTCTAACGAAGGGATAATGATCAATAAAACCAAACCATTTCGCTTACCAGTTAGTTTAGATTTGATCGCGAAGGTGAAAGTTGTCCTGAGAAGGACTATTGTTATACAAACTTAGTTTACTAAGGAATTTATGATTTACACGGAGAACAGGCCATATTAGATATCAGGAGCAATCAATTCATCAATATGACAGTATTATTTTCCTTTCTATAGAAAGCTATAAACTATAAACTTTTTTGTAGTTCTCAGTTAAATTCTCTCAATGTTCGTAAACAAGGCGCGGTCGTAACTTTCGGTTTTGCATATTGGTCCATATTAAAATTTGATTCTGTTTCATAACCAAAAGAAAACTCCACCAGGCCATCGAATTATAAAAAGCGAATAACTCCACCAATAAATCCCAGTGACCTGCTTTGAATTTGATTTGACTCAGAAATGCATGAGATGAGCACAGACTCATCTGATACTTTTCTTAACGACCTAGAGTGGAAGTTGAAAACTGTTTAGATTTGAGAGAATTATTCGAGCTTACAGCTATTTTTTGAAAGAATAACCTATCGATTTTTCAATCTCTTTTCTTGTTTGAAGTCTTAAACCTAAAACAAACAGACAAACAAAAACAAAAATTTCATAAGAGATTTATACTAAAGAAAAGTAAAGACCATGTAAATATTTGTTTCTGAAATCTCGCCCGAGCTAATGAATAATCTCGGCGTCCGGATAAAGCGGGCATATGTATGCACAAAAATTAACACTCTTCACCTCTTTCAAAGCGTCCAATGATCTGTCTTCAGTCGGCATTGTGATGAGCGATCTCTTCGCGACAAATGTGGCGTACTTCTCGAAGCTTTCTAAAAAATTGCTCCGCAACAAAGTTATATCTATGAGTGCAACATCTCTTTTTATATGTTATACCCGCCTTCTGAAAGTGAAATGAAGTACATTTGGTGAAAACACCTTTTTAGTGTCAGATAATCTCACGAAAACGAAAATCTTGACATCATCGCTAATTTAGCACAAGTTACGCGGTATAAAGTTTTGCCGCTTCATTCTTAATATAAGAGTGACCAATGGAGAATTTCTCTTTACAAAATGAAGATATTTGCATTTAGACGGGTGATGAGAAAAAGGAACTACATCAGCTTGGGGACATTGTTTGATTGAATATCAAATTCTCAGAACGTATATTGTACGAGATGTATAGCAGACAGTAAGGAGAGTTGATACTGTTATCTTGAGTGTGAATGAGAGGAAATAGATCAAAACAAACGTCTTTTCGTTTTCTTAACGCAGCCTGTGATGTTTGGTAGTTGTTGTGGCTCGTTTCATATAGGTGCAACCTCCTTACATTAAAGATTGATGAGAAAGGCGAGTACTGGACTAATGTCTGAGTCGTTTGTTAGAAATTTTGAGTCTTGGCAATTAGATTTAGGTTTGAAATCATCTTGACATCATTGTCCAAACTTAGCTTCAAAATTCATTCCCTCTCGAATGAAATCGAAAACAGTTACCACGAGGATAGCAATATGAGGCGTTTTTGAGTTTTGTTTTCTGACGCGAATTTTTTTTCTTATTGACCTTCTTGTTTACAATCAAAATATCATTATGAAGTTTCGTTTTTAAATACAGTTGGACCCCGATAATTCGAACTCGGATAATTCGAAATTCCCGCAAATTCGAAGTAATTTCTGTTCCTTTATGTCGGATTTTACCCCGATAATTCGAAGTTAAGTTACCAGCTGAATGAAAAAGAACAGACACTGTCGGAAATTAGAATATATATTTATGTAATAACAGTTTCGAACATTTCACAGCTCGTTAATCCCTTTATAATTGTGTAAAACAGTTCTCTGTGCATTAATCCCTTTACTGTATGTGCGGTGCTTTATAAAAGTTATTAACATGTCGATGTGATGAAAATCCATGTGCCTAAAGAGTTGACGAAAAATCCAATTTTTTAGTCTTTCAGCTTTGTGAACTCTCTTTCAAGAATACTGACGTATTTCTTCTCTCCTTCAAACAAAAGTTTGCATGGCACTTGCATCCCTTGACCGTCGCCAAGATTAA